GTTTGTTTTTTTTTGAGACAGGGTTTCTCTGTGTAGCCCTGGCTGTCCTAGAACTCACTCTGTAGACCATGCTGGCCTGGAATTCACAGGGATCAGCCTGCTTCTGCTTCCCAAGTGCTGGATTTTAATGTGCACACCACCACCTCCAGACTAGAAGCTTCATCCTTTATAGTGAGCATATTTAAAGTTAGCATTGCTAGGTCTCTGTACCTGCCACCCAACTCCTGCAGGGGACCCAAGTTTGGTTCCTAGCACCCACATGGGTGGTTCACAAATACCTACAACCATAACTGCTCTGAATCCAAGGAGGCCTCTGGCCTCTCCAGGCTCACATACACTTCCAATGCACACAAGTAATACTGTCTTTCCAGAATAGATGAAAACTCAAGGGGGAGTGGATGTTATTTATATTTATGTGTATGAGCATTTGTCTGTGTATGTATATCTGTGCAGCTTGTGCACTCCTCCAGCCTGTGTAGGTCACAAGACGGCATTGGATTCCCTGGAACTGGAATTACACATGGCTTCGAGCCAACATGTGGATGCTGAGAACTGAGCCTGAGTCCTCAGGCCAAGCCTTAACTTCTGAGCCATGTCTCCAGTCAGGAAAGCTGGGTTTTTTATAGAACTGATTGAGAGTCAGGAGAAGTACAAATTTTTATATGAAGCCTTTTTTTCTTTGTTTTTTTCTCATTTATTTTACATACTGACTACAGTCCTCTCCCCCACTCCTCCTGTTCCCTCGCCATATGAAGTCATTATAACAGCTTCTGGGGTTGGAGAGATGGCTCAGTGGTTAAGAGCACTGGCTGCCCTTCCAGAGGATCCAGGTTCAATTCCCAGCACTCAGTTGGCAGATTACAACTGTCTGTAACTCCAATTCCAAGGGAGCCGACCAATGAACACAAAATTAAGTTATTAAAAAAGAAATTACTTCCCAGTATGGGGAAAGAACTCAGAGAGGTTAGGCAATTTCCCCACTGCCACAGCGAGCACGGGGAGGAACAAGGACCTGAAGTCCATGCCCTCTCCAAAGTTGTGCTGCAGACTCCTGGGCATATTTTTGGGCAAATTATTATTATTATTATTATTATTTTTGGTTTTTCGAGACAGGGTTTCTCTGTGGCTTTGGAGGCTGTCCTGGAACTCGCTCTGTAGACCAGGCTGGCCTCGAACTCACAGAGATCCACCTGCCTCTGCCTCCCGAGTGCTGGGATTAAAGGCGTGCGCCACCAACGCCCAGCTTTTTGGGCAAATTATATATGTAGTATATGTAGTGTTTCAGTTCCACATGGTTTTGGGGGTGGTGGCAGATGAGGAGAAACTAAGCTTGGGAAGACGTCACATGTGTGATTTTCAGAGAGACAGGAATCTGTGAGTGCAGGTTTAAAGGAGATTTTAAAATGATTTATTTCAATCGGGCAGTGCTGGCACATGACTTTAATCCCAGCACTCGGGAGGCAGAGGCAGGCAGATCTCTGTGAGTTCCAGACCACCTGGTCCAAGAGCTAGTTCTAGGACCCTGTCTCGAAAAACAAACAAACAAACAAAGGGAAGACTTATTTCAGGGTTGGGCACAGGTCTTTGATCACAACACTCAGGAGATGTTATGATAAAGTGAGGTGAAACTTGGCGGATTCCATGGCAGGCGAGAGAAACCGAGGCTGGAAATAAAAACGCCAGGTAGACAGAACTGAGTGAGAAGCTTTATTAGAAAGGGGAAGGAAGGGAAAGAGAAAAGAGATAAAGACACACACACACACACACACAGTGAACAGAAGAGACAGGAAAAGTCCTGTCTGCCCAGGGGAATAGTGGGAAAGAGAGCAGGAAAGACAGAAGGAGAAAGAGAGCACAAGCGGGCAGGGTCTTTCTTTAAAGGGGTCCTTTGCACCTGGCTGACCAGGGTGCTGCCTGAGTGCATTCTGCCAGGTGACAGGGGTGGGCCAGCATGATGCCTGAGTCCTTACAGCAGAGGCACTCTTATCTCCAGGGCTCTTACACAGAGAAACCACGTCTCAAAAACAAACAAACAGAAAAACATTTATTTCATCTTTTCTGGGAACACAGCTATCCCAACACTCAGGGGTGAGTAGATCTGTGAGTTCAAGGCTTCCCTGGTTCTCCCAGCATCCCTCACTCCCTACCTGTATACAGGGTAGGGTAGGGCTGGCATACCCATCCTCTACCCTGAATTCTGCAGCCCAGCGGCTAGGCAGCCCTCTCTTCCCCCAGAGGCTCTGACCAGATACTCCAGATATTCTGGTCAGAGAATTTTGCAATGAGAGGTCTGAGGCAGGAAGGGGAGGGAAGTCACTAAGCCTAGGACCCTGGTGGAGTGAAACCCGGTGCCTGAGGCCATCAGGAAACTAACCATGCAGTATTGGGAGCCAGAGAAGGTGTGAGAGGGAGAGCAGGCCACCATCACAGTGAGTTAGACTTCTCTAGAGGGGAGGAAAAGGGAGGAGGCTGATAAGCAGAAGCTGGGGCCTGGGGGAGGACAAGACTTTGGGGCAAACTTGGACAAAGCCACCTCTGGGGAATGGTGGTGGCTACTGAGACCCAGTGGGCTGGGCCAGGCCAGGCTGGGCTGGGTTGGCTGGGACAAGACAGAGCTAGTCTGTTCTCTGCCCCCACTGAAGCTCTTGGTTTCATGAATTTTTTAGCTAAATAGGCCTTGAGTTTCAGATTCCAGGGCACTGGGCCCAGGCTTCTGGGTTCCATTTACCACCGTGTGAATGCAGCTCAGGCCCCAGGAGACTGTTGCTGGCTTTGTGAACGGCACATTTAAGCCTGGAGGCCAGAGAACAACTCCAGATGCACTCCCTCCCTCCTCAGGAACCACACCTTTCTTTAAAATTATATCTGGCTTACGTGTTGTGTATATGCATGGAGGTCAAAGGACAACCAGCAGGGGCCAGTTCTGTCCCATTAATCGTGTGGGACCTGGAGAGCACATTAAGGTCCTGAGCGAAGCAACTTTGAGTCATTTTACTGAACCCCCATACATTTGTTTTGTTTTTGTCAGAGTCACCCTGTATAGCTGGCCTGGAAATCTATGGAGGTCTACCTGCCTCTGCCAGGGGAGATATTAATACTTGTGCAACCAGCTGAACTCCACACATTGTTGTTGTTGTTGTTTTTTTTTTTTTTTTTTGGTTTTTTGAGACAGGGTTTCTCTGTGGTTTTGGAGGCTGTCCTGGAACTCACTCTGTAGACCAGGCTGGCCTCGAACTCACAGAGATCCGCCTGCCTCTGCCTCCCGAGTGCTGGGATTAAAGGCATGGGCCACCAACGCCCGGCCCACACATTGTTTTTTGAAAGTGTGTGTGTGTGTGTGTGTGTGTGTGTGTGTGTGTGTGTGTGTGTGTGTGTGTTTGGGCATCCCTGTGATTTTCCTCAGCACCCTGGCAGGAGGCCATTCTGGGGTATGGAATAACACAAATAACAAAATCAGACAAACAAAGCTTTATCCTCTTGGAGCCAAACTTTAGTCTCCCTGCCTGTCAAGGGAAGGTAACCTCACTTTTTTCCCCTCACAGGGTTATGCAGAGGGTAGGGGCTGTAGCTTGGATAGTGGAGTGCTTGTCTAGCATGCACAAAACCCTGTGTTCTCTCCGGCCACAGCACCCAGTCAATGGACCAGGCAGGGTTTGTAGGTCATCCTGGTACTCAGCGGGCAGAGCGGCATCTCATCAGGAGTTCACGGTGACTCCAGGCTACATACATGGCCTGGGCTACATGGGTCTTTAAAAAAGTGTATGCGTGATCATCCGTCGGATTTCTTTTGGTATTTATGCCAAGCTTGAGAATGGCGCCGCTACTAGGGAGGCTGTGCTGGAAGAGTTGGGGGTTTAGGGTTAGCCTGTGCTATACATGGAGGCTCCCAACGAAAACTTCTTAAGGGCTGGGAGTGCTTGCAAAGGTGGCACTCCTGCCCCATAGGACCGTAAAAAATAACTAGGACAACAGGATTGTGATTCAGTAATCTGGCTGTGTGGCCTTGAGACTGCTCGGATTCCTCCCGGGTGGTGGCTGATCGACTCCACAGACAGGCGCCCAGCCTCTGCCTTAGGACGATTCTCCCTGGCGGGTTTCGTAGCTGCTCTTTTCTTCCTCGAGACTCCTGGCCGGATAAAGGTCTGAGACTGGCTGGGAGGGGAGGGGAGTGTGTCGGGGGCAGTGTGCGTGTGCCAGGCAACGAGGACCACGCGGCCTGTGTCGCCCCCTGACGGCCGCGCAGGAGACGGTCCTCTCCTAGCAGAGCATCAGGTCGCCGGCTCCTGGGAGGTTTGGGGTGCTTTTCCCCCCACCCTCCGCGAAACGGTATCCCAGCAATTGGAAGGATGACCTTGAGTTTAAGGCCAGCCTGGGCTATTAATAATGAAGTTAGAAAACAAAAAGACAAAGTCAAGTGTGGTTGCTCCTGCCTGTAATCTCAGGACTTGTAAGACAGTCTGAACCGCACAATGGCCAGGTCGTCCTCGGTGTCTCAATTACTTTTAGAACTGAAAATGACACAAACAAACAAACAAACAAACAAACCAGGTCAAGCGTAGCGGCGCCTTGAATCCCAGAACGCGGGGGCGGAGGCAGCGGGTTCGAGGCCAGTCCGGTCTGCAGCGCGAGCTCCAGGGCTACACAGAGAAACCCTGTTTTGGAGGAGGAGGGGGGGACAAGAAGCAAACCCGACGGACCGACCAAACTAAACGAAAGTAGAGAGGTGCATAGTGGAGTGCATGAGGGACTAGGATCTGGACATCTGGCGGTGGGCACGGGGGCAAAGTCCTGTGGAGCCTGGAATGTGTGGGTGAGAGCATAAACACAGGGTCAGGCCGATGCCCCGGGGCGGGACGGGAGCTTGCGTGGGTGGACACGCGTGTGTCCGGGCGGACTGGCGGATGCCTGCGTGTGGGAGGCGGTGGGTGGGCGGATAAGCGGGCAGGCGGATGAGAGGATGAATAAACACGCACAGGGACGCACGGCGGGCGAGTAGAGGATCAGTGGATGAACGTCCCGGGGTCTCATCATCCACCCAGGCATCCTTGGTCGCCAAAAGAAACTGAGACAGGGCGGCTGTCACGCCCCAAGCTCTGCCATCCCCAGCGCCCACCTCGCTGCTCACCTGGCGGCCTCCCCTTTAAGACGCGCTCACCTGGCGGCCTCCCCTTTAAGACGCGCTCACCTGGCGGCTCACCTGGGTGAGGGCGCTTCCGCAGGAAGAAGGAAGCGGCGCCGCCGCCTCTGCCTCTCGCTCCCGCCTCTCAGCTTCTACGGCCGCCACCATGTCGGCCTCGGCCGTCTTCATTCTGGACGTCAAGGGCAAGGTGAGGTCGGGGGCGAGGGATTGAGGGACCCCGGGAGAGGCCGCGGGCCCGGGGCGCAGGACCCGGAGCTGGGGACCCGCTCTCTCCAGCCAGCGTCTGTGGCAAGGGGCTTCGCTCCTTGCCTCAGTTTCCCTGGATGTAAAATGGGAATAAGAAGGATCCCTGCCACATGAGCGCCCCGAGCCCGTGAGCACAGCCCTTCTGCAAGCCGTGGAGCTTGATAAATTCGCAAGGGTAACTGGCTGGGGGAAGGCCTCCACGCGCTCCTGGCAAGCTGCCCGTCCCCTCTCCAGTGACAGTCATAGCGGTAGATGACAACAAGGGCCCTGCGTTAAAATGACAGGGCTGGACATGTACCTCAGTTGTGAGCCGGCTCGGTTTGAACCTAGAGCACTGCGTAAGCACCCACAGTTCCAGCGCTTGCGGGGCGGAGGCAGAAGGGAGTTTGAAGCTCCATGATACACTGCCTCTAAATCAAACAGGCTAAACGAGTCAAGGCCCTGCCTGCACAAGCTTGGCGACCTGAGCTGCAGCCTCGACCCCGAGTAAGGGGAAAGGAGACAGCCCACAACGTTGTCCTCTGACCACATACACACTAGCCACGGGCCCGGGCCACCCCACACACATCATGCACTCACAGACAGTAACAATGCTTGTAAAAACAAGCAGTAATGACGGTGGAGCCAGGCGGTGGTGGTGCCCGCCTCGGGAGGCAGAGGCAGGCGGATCTCTGTGAGTTCAAGGCCAGCCTGGTCTACAGAGCGAGTTCCAGGACAGTCAGAGCTACACAGAAGCCCTGTCGCAAAAAGACAAAAAGAAAAAAGAAACAGATCTGCCTGCATCGCCTCCTGAGTGCTAGGCTGCCTGAGTCACTATCTCGCCGTCCTCTCCATCAAAGTAGAGGCCTGTTGTATATGGGAAAGCAGGAGAGTCAGAGAGAAGAGAATTAGACGTCAGCCCTTGTCCCCTAAGTCTGATGGTGACTGAGTTCTCTCTTCCTACCCTTAGCCCCTGATCAGCCGAAACTACAAGGGTGATGTGCCCATGACGGAGATTGACCACTTCATGCCACTGCTTATGCAGCGTGAGGAGGAGGGTGTGCTGGCCCCACTGCTCAGCCATGGCCGAGTGCACTTCTTGTGGGTCAAACACAGCAACCTCTACTGCATCCGCCCATGCTGGTCGGGGGCCAAGACCTGGGACCTGAGGGCAGTGCCTGGGGGAAGGGCCGGTAGAAATGGTGGGGTCCTCGACAGTGTCTCTTTTCCCTTAACCTTGCTGTACCAGTGGTGGCCACCACGCTGAAGAACGCCAATGCCTCTCTGGTGTACTCCTTTCTGTACAAGACAGTGGAGGTAGGTACTGTCTTTTCTACTTGTTGTGCTCACCGATTGGTTGCCCCCTTAGTAAGTCTTCTGACCCTGCCCGTCAAAGCCTCCCTCACTCTACCCTCACAGCTGGGTTAGGAAGAGGCTCCCCCCGATCTGAGATCACACTTCTCTGCTTGTTTCTGGTGCTGGTGTAAGGGAAGGGAAGAAAGGGATAGCAGGAAAGGGGGCCTTGGCTAGGTAATTCAGAGGAGTTGTGCCTACATCGTGAACAAAAAAGTCCGGGGTGTGAATGGAATGGAGGCTAAGGGATTGAGCAGAACAAGGCTCACATGTTGACTGAGAGCATCTCTCCTCCCAGGAGACACAGGCTGGGCATCAATGCGCTTGGTGCTGGAGGAGTGCCGGAGGAGTGCCAGATCTCGGATATGAATTTTCAGATGTCTTTGTATATGTTTAGTGAGGCATCTTGGGGATAGGACCAAAGACTTCAGGAAATGTGTTTGTGTTACATGTATACCTTACCTACATCTGGAAGGTTTTTTTTTTTTAATCTGTTTTCTTTTCTTCCTCCCCCCCCCCTTGATTTTTTTGAAACAAGGTTTCTCTGTATAATAACCCTAGCTGTCCTGGAACTCAGTTTGTAGCCCAGGCTGGTCTCAAACTCAAGAGATCCACCTACCTGCCTCCCAAGTGTTGGGATTAAAAGTATATGCCACCACACCCCGCAGAAGATAATTTTTAAATTTTTAAAATTTATTTTATTTGTAAGGGTGTGCTAGAATGTATGTTTGTGAACCAAACAGACTTGAAGAAAGCACTGAATCCTTGGAACTGGAGTTAAAAGACAGTTGTGAGCTGTCATGTGGGTGCTTGGGAATCAAACCTGGGTCCTCTGGAAGAGCAGCCAGTCCTAATGGCTGAGCCATATCCTCTGGAAAGCTTTTAAAACAGAAAAGTTGCTGGGTGATGGTGGTGGTGGGAGGCAGAGGCAGGTGGATCTCTGTGAGTTCCAGGCCAGCCTGGTCTACAGAGTGAGTTCCAGGACAGCTAGGGCTGTTACACAGAGAAACCCTGACTCGACAAACCAAAAAAAAAAAAAAAAGAAAGAAGTTTTTTGCCAGATGGTTGGTGTCCCAGGCCTTTAATCCCAACACTTGTGAGGCAGAGGTAGGCAGATCTGTATGAGTTTGAGGCTAGCCTGGTCTACAGAGCAAGTTCCAGGACAACCAGGGCTACTAAGAGAAACCCTGTCTCAGAAAAACACACATACATACACACACACACACACACACACACACACACACACACACTCTCTCTCTCTCTCTCTCTCTCTCTCTCTCCCTCCCTCCCTCCCTCCCTCCCTCCCTCCCTCCCTCCCTCCCTCCCTCCCTCCCTCCCTCCCTCCCTCCCTCCCTCCCTCCCTCCCTCCCCCCGGAAGTGGTAGTGTCTCTTGCATCCCTCCCACAGCAGGATGCTGGCTACCTGATCTGTTCAGGTAGTCACATCTGCATATCTATTTTTGAGACAGCCTCTCGTGCAGCCCAGCTGACCTTGGACCTGCAGCATCATGGGTATACCAGTTGTTTTATATTGGAATGCTTTACACTTATTCCGCTAGTTCTTTTGTGTGTGCGTGAGGCATGGGTGTGCAGATCAGAGGGCAGCTAGCCTTCCCCCACAGGGTTCCAGGGTCGTCGGGTTTGGTAACAAGTGGCCTTTCCTGCTGAGCCATCTGTGTAGTCTGTTTTGTTTTGAGGTTGGTTTTTCCTGTACTAGAGAATTACATCTACTCATTCTGTTTCACTCTTATCCTCTTGCATCACATTACTGTCACCTGACAGATAGACAGATTCATTATAAATATAAATATATATATGTGACAGATTTTTTAAAAATTTAGGATACGCACTTTATTAAATTTTATGTATATGTGTGTTTTGCCTGCATATATGTCTATGCACCTCATGTGTGTAGGGCCCACAGAGGCCTGAACAGAATGTTGGATCTCCTAGGACTGCAGTACAGACAGTTATGAGTCTTGGTGCTGGGAACTGAACATGGGACATAGGATCCCTGCAAGAACAGCCAGTGTAGCAGGGCCTTTTCCTTATTTAAAACTAACTTAAGGCAGTGGTGGTGCATGCCTTTAATCCCAGCACTCAGGAGGCAGAGGCAGGCGGGTCTCTGTGAGATCTCTGTGAGTTCGAGGCTAGCCTGCTCTACAGAGCAAGTTCTAGGACAGCCTCAAAAAAAATACAGAGAAACCCTGCCTCAAAAAACAAAACAACAACAAAAGAGCAGCCAGTGCTCTTAACCACTGAGCGTCTCTCAGGCCCACACTTTTTTGTTTGTTGAAATGGAATCTCTCTATTTAGTCTTGGCTGTCCTGGAACTCACTATATAGACCAGACTGGCCTTGATCTCAGAAGACCCACTTGTCTCTGCCTCCTCAGTGCTGGGATTAAAGACGTGAACCACCATATAGCTGGCCTCCACACTTTTTTTTTTGTTTAGGGAATGTAAGATGGATCAAACCTCTCATTCTAGAGCTTTGAAGGCTACAGCAAAAGGATGGAAAGTTCATGGCCAGCCTAGGCTCCATAGCCAGACTCTGTCTCAAAAAATAGTCTGGAATAAGGCTCCTTAGTAGAGCCCCTGTGTAGAATCTCCCAGTGATGGTCTGGGGTGTGGCTCTTCCCTGCATAGAATCCCCCAGTGAGGGCCTGGGGTGTGGCTCTTCCCTGCATAGAATTCCCCTGTGAGGAGTTGGAGTGTAGCTCATCTGTAGATTCTTGATCTATAGCCAGGTGCTTGTTTCCTCCAACCCTTGTACCATACCCACACCCAGAAAACCCATTTTAAACCCTAACTGTCTGTCAAGATTCTTCAAGGTGTAGGTTTTCCTCCTTTCCACCTGACATGTTGGGTATGATTGATGATCACTTTTCCTCATTAAATTGCTCCATGGGAGAAAGCCTGTGTCTTTGTTTGCAGCCCAGGCACACAGTAGGTCGTCCATAATTGCTTATTGGCTGATTGAGTGTGTTCCCTGGGCCCCCTGCCCAGGTCTTCTGTGAGTATTTTAAGGAGCTGGAAGAGGAGAGCATCCGCGATAATTTTGTTATTGTGTACGAGCTGCTGGACGAGCTCATGGACTTTGGCTTTCCGCAGACCACAGACAGCAAGATCCTGCAGGAGTGAGTGCAGGCGCGGGGGTGGGGAGGTGGGGTGGGGTAGGCGGGTGCCTGTGACCAGGAGGCTGTCCCCTTTGAGGTGTCCCTGGTTTAGCTCTGGAGTCTCACCGTTCTTTCCAATAGGTACATCACACAACAGGGCAACAAACTGGAGACGGGCAAGTCTCGAGTACCACCCACAGTCACCAATGCCGTGTCGTGGCGCTCTGAGGGGATCAAGTACAAAAAGAATGAGGTCTTCATTGATGTCATAGAATCTGTTAACCTTCTGGTGCGTTTCTGTGCCGCATGTCCTGGGGGCAGGAGAGGGGACTCTGTATCTGTTGACACCCCATATTGGGACGCCCCCTTTGCAGGTCAATGCTAACGGCAGTGTCTTGCTCAGCGAGATTGTGGGCACCATCAAGCTGAAGGTGTTTTTGTCTGGGATGCCAGAGCTGCGGCTGGGCCTCAATGACCGAGTACTCTTTGAGCTTACTGGCCGTAAGATTGGGGGGATCCCCTTCCCAGGGATGGGCTAGTAAACAACTAGAGGCCTCCTAGACTTCAGCCAGTTCTAAGTGTTCACATGCGCTCTGATAATTGAGCCTTGCATCTCAGCAGCCAAGTTCACCTAGCAAATGCTTTCTTTGCTAATGAGAGCTAGCTGCAAACCAAGCCAGTTTCTGGCCTTAGCATTCTGGTGGAAGGAGACAGGTTAATAATATTTGAACATATCACAGAGACAGGCATAGTAATCCATGCTGTAATGTCAGCACTCTGGAGGCTTAAGCAGGAGGGTTCAATGTCATTTTCTCCTTAGGTTAGTGGAAGCATTATGAGAAGTGGGCAGAGACAGATGGTTGATTCACTAGGCATTCCAAGGGGAACAGCCTAGCCTAATCAGCAAGTTCCAGGGCTAAAGAGAAATGCTGTCTCAGGAAAGCAAAACCAAACAAAAAAACAAGGAGGATGACATCTGAGGAAGGATACATGGTATTGTCCTTTGGTGTCAGTGTACACATATGCACATACATACAAATGTGCACACGCAGGCACGCATGCATGCATGCACACATGCATGCACGCACTCACGAACACATGCATGCACGTACACGCACCACAGTATAAAATAAAACCAAACAAACCAAAACTAAGTTGAGCCAAGCATAGTGTTGCATCAGAGTAATCCAAGAGTGAGTTCCAGGACAGCCAGAGATACACAGAGAAACTCTGTCTGGAAAAACAAAACAAACAAACACACACAAAAATACAGGCATAGGGGACTGGAGAGATGGCTCAGCAGTTAAGAGCACTGGCTGCTCTTCCAGGAGACCCAGGTTCAATTCCCAGCACTGATGGCAGCTCATAACGCTGTAGCTCCAAGATCTGATATCTTCACACTAGGATACATACAGGCAAAATATTGAAGCACATAAAGATAAATAAATAAAAAACAGAATAAAAAGTGCTTAGAAGTCAGGCTGTAGTGACGCACGCCTTTAATCCGAGCATGTAGAAGGCAGATCAGGCAGATCTTTGTAAGTTCCAGGCCAGCCTGAACTACGTAGCAAGTTCCAGGACAGCCAAGGTTATATGGCAGAACCCTGTCCCCAAAAATAAAATACAAAGGGTGGGCATGGTGGTGTTTATCTGTTCTGTGATACTGGAGGAGTAAGGCAGGAAACCCCAGAGTGCCCTGGCCAGCCCTGTTTGCCAGTTGGTGAGTTCCAGGTTGAATAGGACACCCTGTGTTAAAAGATAAGACAGAGGGCCAGAGAGAAGGCTCAGCAGGGAAATCACAAACACAGTGACCTGAATGAGATCCCTAAATCCACACAGAAAAATCTGGAAGTGCTGGTATGCATCTGAAATCTCAGCATTCCTTTTAAAGATTTTATGTATTTATGTGTTTATTATATGTGTAGGTATTTTGCATGTATGTATGTATGTTTGCATGTATGTGCCCCATGTGTGTGCAGTGCCCAGAAAGGCCAAAAGAGGGTGTCAAATTCTCTGGGACCAGTAGTTATGTATAGAAGGTTGTCAGCTCCCATGTGGGTGGAGGGAATTGAACCTAGATCCTTTACAAGAGCAGCCAGTGCTCTTAACCACTGAGCCATCTCTATAGTCTCATGAAGTCTTAAGCGCTCCTATGCTCAGTGGAGGCAGAGACAGGAAAATCTCCCAGAAGCTCGTAGGCCAGCTAGATTGATGGCATGACAGAACAACTCCAGGAGCTCTGGTACCATGTTTCATCCAAACACAAACCTCCATGTAATTAAAAGCACTAAAATTTGTGCTGTGTGTGGTGGCTCACGTGTTGAGTCCCAGCACCTGGGAAGCAGAGGTGGGCGGATCTCTGTGATTTGGAAGCTGACCTGGTCTACTATGGAATTTCAGGACAATCAAGACTATGTTAGGCCCTGTCTCAAAAAAGAAAAGAAATAAAGCCCTACCAAAATTTTTAGGAAAAAACAAAACCTCCAAATAAAATGACAGTAGAAAACAAGTGTAGGGGTAGGAGGCAGACGGGGCTTGTTTCGACTCCCTCCACCACTCAGCCTAGGCCGTGGGCTTCCTCCTCGGCAAACCTAGAGAAGGTAGCAGCCAGGAGGAATGGCGAGGTGGGGCGCTCTCCTCAGCCCCAGGGTCACTTTGCCTGCTCCACTCCGAGTTTCAGGCAGCAAGAACAAGTCTGTGGAACTGGAAGACGTGAAATTCCACCAGTGCGTGAGGCTTTCGCGCTTTGACAATGACCGCACCATCTCCTTCATTCCCCCGGATGGGGACTTTGAGCTCATGTCCTATCGCCTCAGCACCCAGGTGAGTCCGGGAGCCCAGCGCAAAGGAGGTGGTGGGTGGTGGACCCGGGTTGACCTCAGTCTGAGAGCCGCCTTCTTGTCTGCCTACAGGTCAAGCCCCTGATCTGGATTGAGTCAGTCATTGAGAAATTCTCCCACAGCCGAGTGGAGATCATGGTCAAGGTGAGCTCTAGAGGAACACTTTCTCGGCGGAGGTCCCGTGGCGCCTTCTGCCCAGCCAGCCTCCTGGATGGGCATGCAGATTTCTGTTGGTTTTTAACCCTGTTTTCCCTTAATTTTGTGTGTGGCTGTTTTGCCTGCGTGTGTCTGATGTGCAAGGTTTGCCTGGCTGGTGCCCACAGAGACTAGGAGAGGGCACTGGATTTCCTGTACTGGAGTCGTAGACAGTTGTGAGCCTCTGTGTGGGTGCTGAGAATCAACTGGAATCCGCTGGAAAAGTAGCCAATGTTCTTAACCACTGAACCATGTCTTTAGCCCTTTTTGAAGCAAGATCTCAGTGTGTAACCCTGGATAAACTCTCTGTAGACAAGGATGTCCTCAGACTTAAGAGATCTGCCTGCCTCGGCGGATCTCTGTGAGTTCAAGGCCAGCCTGGTCTACAGAGCAAGTTCCAGCACAGCCTCCAAAGCCACAGAGAAACCCTGTCTCAAAAAACCAAAAAAAAAAAAAAAAGAGCGAGAGATCTGCCTGCCTCTTCCTCCTAAGGGCAGGGTCTAGAGATGAATGTATCTTCTCAGTCCTTTTTTTTTTTTTTTTTTTTTTTGGTTTTTCGAGACAGGGTTTCTCTGTGGCTTTGGAGGCTGTCCTGGAACTCGCTCTGTAGACCAGGCTGGCCTCGAACTCACAGAGATCCGCCTGCCTCTGCCTCCCGAGTGCTGGGATTAAAGGCGTGCGCCACCAACGCCCGGCCAGTCCTTATTTTTTTGTTTAAGATTTTTTGTTTTGTTTTGTTTTTCAAGACAAGGTTTCTCTATGTAGCTTGGGGACCTGTCCTGTCCCTCGATTGGTAGATCAGGTTGGCCTCAAACTCACAGAGATCCTCCTGCCTCTGCTTCTGCCTACTAAGTGCTGGGACTAAAGGTGTGTGCCATCACTGCTGGGCAAGATTTTTTTATGTGAATAGATGTTGTCTTAGTGTTTAATTGGGGTGGCTTACAGTTCAGAGATTTAGCCCATTATCATCATAATGAGACATGGCATTGTGCAGGCAGACATGGTGCTGGGGCTGAGAGTCCTACATCTTGATTCACAGGCAACAGTAACTTGAATTGAAATACTGGGTGTGGCTTGAGTATATATGAAACTTCAAAGCCCACCCCTACAATGACACACTTTCTCCAACAAGGTCGTACCTACTCCAACAAAACCACACCTCCTAATAATGCCACCCCCTTTGAGTTTTATGGGGTTCAATTAATTCAAGCTATCACAAATGTTTATATATGGGCACCCTGTGTGCCTGGTACCCTTGCATGCCAGAAGAGGTTATTATGTCCCATGGAACTGGAGTGATAGATGGTTGTGAACCATCCTGTGGGTGCTAGGAACCAACACTGTGTCCTCTTCAATAGTAACAAGTTCTCTTAACCACTGAGACATCTCTCCAGGCTCAGGCTCATGTTTCCGTTTTGTTCTTTTGTTTGTTTGTTTTTTAATTAATTAATTTATTTTTAAAGATGTATTTATTTATTATATATAGCATTCTGTCTGCATGGATGCCTGCAGGCCAGAAGAGAGCATCAGATCTCATTACAGATGGTTGTGAGTCACCATGTGACTGGGAATTGAACTCAGGACCTCTGGAAGAGCAGCCAGTGCTCTTAACCATCTCTCCAGCCCCAATGTTTCTGTTTGTATTTTATTTTATTTTGAGACAAGGTCTCTGTATGTAGCCCTGGCTGTTCTACAACTTGCCAAGTAGACCAAGTTGGCCTCAACAAACATCCACCTGTCTCTGCCTTCTAAGTGCTGGGATTAGAGGTATGTGCTGCTGCTGACATTTTCATAATTTACATGTGATAGTTTGAATGTAATTGGCCCCCTTAATTTCATAGGGAATGGCATTATTAGGAGGTGTAGCTTTGTTGGAGTAGGTACAGACTTATTGGAGGAAGTATGTCACTGTGGGCTTTGAGGTCTCATATTCTCAAGCCATGTCCTGTGTCTCAGTTCAAGTTACTGTTGCCTACGGATCAAGATGTAGGACTCTTAGGTCCAGCACCATGTCTGCCTGCACACTGCCATGTCTCACCGTGATGATATTGGACTAACCCTCAACTATAAGTTGCCATCTCAGTTAAATGTTTTCCTTTATAAGAATTGCCATGGTTATGGTGTCTCTTCACAGCAATAGAAACCCTACTAAGACACATGTTATATTCACCCCCCACCCTCTCTGACCCCCTCCCTTTCTGCTGACCTCTCCCTTCCCAAACATTTCCATTTCTACTTTCATGGGTTTTGGTTTTTCTTTTTGTTGTTTGGTGGTTTTGTGTGTGTGTGTGTGTGTGTGTATGTGTGTGCGTCTGTGTGTGTTTTGAGATAGGGTTTCTCTATGTCTTTGGAGACTGTCCTGGAACTTGCTCTTGTAGACTAGGCTGGTCTCGAACTCACAGAGATCTGCCTGCCTCTGCCTCTCAAGTGCTGGAATTAAAAGGCCTATGCCACCACCACCCGGCTTCATGGTTTTTTTGTTTTTTTGTGACCCTGTGAGTTTCATGGGGGTTATTTACCATGGCTGTGGTGGCTTTACCAGTGGCCATACCTCTGAAAAATGTCTCTCTCTCCCCAGAGGGGGACAGGGCCTGGTGAATTCTCCCTGCTGCAACTGTTAATTGCACATAAATCTTCAAGGAGGGTTGTGACCCCTTTCTTCTCTGGATGACCTGGAAGTATTGATCCTCCTGCTTCTACTTCCCCAGAGCTGCCATTAGAGTTGCTTGCTATCACACATGGATCCCGATTTGTTTGTTTACTTATTTATTTATTTGGTTTTGTTTTGGCTTGGATTTTTTGACTTTTTGATACAGGGTTTCTCTGTGTAGCCCTGGCTGTCCTGGAAGTTGCTTTGTAGACCAGGCTGGCCTCAAGCTCAGAGATTCACTTGTCTCTGGCTCCTGAGTGGTGGGATTAAAGGCATGTGCCACCATGGTTGGCGAAATCTTAATTTTCTTTCTTTTGTGTATGTATATGTGTATGGGCAGGGCTATGGCGTGGAGGTCAGAGGACAACTTGCAGGAATCAGTTCTCTCTTTTTACCATGTTGGTCCCAGGGTTTGAACTCAGGTCCTTAAACTTTACCTGCTGAGCCAACCTACCAGCCTCCTCTCTTCCCTTTCTCTGACCAGGAATATCATCAGGGCCTCTTGAATGCTAGGCATTCACTCTGCACCAAGCTATTGTATTATCCTTTTTTTTTCTGTTTTGTATTTCCAAAAGAGATCTCACGTAGTTGCCCAGGCTGGCCTTGAATACTGTCTCTTAAATCCTGACAGTCCTTGAACACTCTCTCTATAGTCTAGGCTGTCCTTGAACACTCTCTCTCTCAATAATCCTGGGAGGCCTTGAGTTTCAGTCTCCAGAGTTTACAAACATCCGCCACTAATCTTGCTCAGCATTATTTTTGCCTTCTGCTCTCTCCTGGCAGGCTAAGGGGCAGTTTAAGAAGCAGTCAGTGGCCAATGGTGTGGAAATATCTGTGCCTGTACCCAGTGATGCAGATTCCCCACGCTTCAAGACCAGTGTGGGCAGTGCCAAGTATGTGCCTGAGAAGAATGTTGTCATTTGGAGTATCAAGTCCTTCCCTGTAAGTATTGAGAAAGGTGCGCCCAGCCAGGGTGGGAGGGGACTTCCGTGGTGGTAGGGCTTGCCTGCACCACATGAGGTCAAGGTGCAGAATACCTCAAAGACCTCATCATTGTGCACGTGCTACCCATGGGATTTGATAAGAGAAAAGCCAGGCTGTCTGGTTCTAGATTGGCACATTCCATGTGTGGCTGAATCTGTCCTGCTCCCATGTGCGAGGTGGAGGTAGGAGAAAAAAAATTCAGGCTTATCCTTGCCTACATAACTACTTCAGGTCTAGCCTAGGCTGCTTGAGATCCTGTCTGAAACCCAAACCAAGGTGGGGAAACCAAAAGCCTCCTGAAATGGCATCTCCCTACCGCCATAAACCCTTCAGGGATATGTCCTTGGTTCCTGGTTTTTCCTTCATAGACTCACCTCATCTGTGAAATAGGATGGATGATAATTGACACACGTTCTTTTTGTTGATGTTTTGTTTTTAGACAGGGTCTCCCTGTGTGGCCATGGCTGACCTAGAACTCATTGTAGATCAGCTGACCTCGAACTCAAAGCTCACCGCCTTCCTCTGCCTCCTGAGCACTGGTATTAAAGCTGTTTGCCATAATGTTTAATTATGACTCACAGTCTCCGCACTCTGATCACTGGTGGCTTTATTTTGCGTTATTTTGTGTGTGCATGCTTGCAGTCTCGATGGGGTGCAGGTGGAGGTCAGAGGATACCTTATAGGAGTTGCTCCCCTCCTTACCCATGTGGGTCCCAGGGATTGAACTCAGATTGACAGGCTTGGCTGGAATCACCTTTCTTGCTTTATAATCTTGACAGCCCTTTATTTATTTATTATTGGCTTTTTTTTTTTTTTTTGAGACATGGTTTCTCTGTAGCGTTGGAGTGTGTCCTGGAGCTCGCACTGTACACCAGGCTGGCCTTGAACTCAGAGAGATATGCCTGACTTTGTCTCCTGAGTGCTGGGAATAAAGCTTGCGCTACCACTGCCTGGCTGTTATTGATTTTGTTTGTTTGTTTGTTTGTTTTTTCGAGACAGGGTTTCTCTGTGGCTTTGGAGGCTGTCCTGGAACTCACTCTTGTAGACCAGGCTGGTCTCGAACTCACAGAGATCCGCCTGCCTCTGCTTCCCGAGTGCTGGGATTAAAGGCATGCGCCACCACTGCCCTGTTGACTTATTAATTTTTTATATGTGTAAGTGTTTTTCCTGTGTATAGTGTCAGAGAAGGCATTCGACCCTCTGGCACTGGAATCATACTGGTTGTGTGCTGCCTCGCGGTTTCTGGGAACCAAACTTGCGTCCTCTGGCAGAGCAGCAAGTGTTCTTCCCCACTGAGCCATCTCCAGCCCAACCCTTTATTTTTTTGAGACAAGGTCTTATGTGACTCAAGCTCTTCTCCAATCCCTATGTAGTCAAGAAAGGCTTTGAACTCCTGGTCTTCCCACAACCTCCCAGGTGCTGGGATTACAGCTGCCACCACACCTTTTTTTTTTTTTTTTTTTTTTTTTTGTGGTCCTGGGCATGAAACCCAGAGCTTCATGAATGTTAGGCAAGCACTCTACCAACTGAGCCACAGCTGTACCCGGTGTTAGTGATTCACGCATACATGCCCCTGTGGGACTGAAACCTAGGGCGTTGAACAGCCTGTAAGTGTTCTACTAATATTCTGCAATCCTGGCCCTTGGTGTCTTGACACAAGGTCTCACTCTGTAACCCAGACTGGCCTTGAACTTGTAATCTTTGATATTCCTGGTTTGGTTTCCAGAGTCGCTGGAACTGTGGGCCTTTGCAATGGAACCCAGCCACTGGAGGATTTGATCTGTCTGTCTGTCTGTCTGTGTTCCTCCAGACTAAGGGACAAGAGTTAGACTTTTCCTATGGGTCTCAGTGAGCACTCTTGACTTTGAAGTCTGTGAGTGAACAGTTCTCCAGGGAGCCTGCTATGAGGGTGGTCTGTGTATCCACAGGGCGGCAAGGAGTACCTGATGCGAGCCCACTTTGGGCTCCCCAGTGTGGAAACTGAAGAGGTGGAGGGCCGGCCACCCATCGGAGTCAAGTTTGAGATTCCATACTTTACTGTCTCCGGCATCCAGGTGAGGAGCAAGGGCTGGGAGGCTCCCTGCTCCCTTCCCTCTTGACTTCAGTCACCTCTCATCTCACATCCTACTTTTCATTTGAATTTTTATTTGTTTTATGTGCATCAGTATTTTGATGACTATTTATCTGTGTGGCATCCCCTAGACCTGGAGTTACAGGGTGTTGCGGTCTACCATATAGATGCTGGGAATCTGGAAGAGCAGCCAGAGCTCTCAACCCCTGAGCCATCTGCAACTCCCTTTTTTGTTTTTGAGACTGGGTCTCACTGTACCCATGCTGACCTGGAACTCACTATGTAGAGCAGGCTGGCCTTGAACCGACGTGCCTCTGCTTCCCAAGTGCTGAGATCGGAGCCATGCACCACCACACCAGGCATTTTTATTTTGTTTGTAACCTAAGCTAGCCAAGGACTCACTCCACAACCCAGGCTGGCCTTGAACTGATGATGCCCTTCTGTCTGGATTCCCAAGCTCTGGGAAAACCATGTATCCCCATGCCAGGTTCTCCACTTCTGTGACTTCTGCTGGGCTCTTCCCTCTCCGCTGTGCACATTGGCACCTGCCGTCAGAGCGTTCTCCATTCTCTTGACCTGTCTCCCAGTCTGTCCTGTATCCTCCCTCTGTACTTCCTTTTCCCTAGGAGCCTGGATCACTTTGCACATGCCATACCCAGAGACTCTCAGCTTGTGTCATTTTGTATCCTAAAGTATGTCCTGTATGTTTTCTCTTGACACAGTTTGACACTTTTCCTTCTGCCTCTAGTCTCCTCCCCCTCCCTGTACCCCCCTCCCCCATGCTGTGATAGAGCCCAGGGACTGGTGCCTGCTAGGAAGCAGCTCTCCCGCTCCTCACACCCCAGCTCCTCACAGGTGACTCCAGAAGGAAGCATGACTGCTGAGCTGCCTCCCTAGTCCTTGGCCACTCCTTCTTATTGTCCTCCAGGTCCGTTACATGAAGATCATTGAGAAGAGTGGGTACCAGGCCCTGCCCTGGGTCCGATACATCACCCAGAGTGGGGGTAAGAGCCGGGCTCTCTGGGACAGTGAGCGTGAGGAGATGGAGGGCATGGTGCTATGTTTGGGACAGTACTAAAGCATGCTTAGCCCCAAAGCAGACCCTTACCATGCTTCCTTGGGCTTCAGCTTATACATCTTTAAAATGGGGTGGCTGCCCTGCTCCAAGGTGATGATAAGGTCTGAACGAGATGCTGATGATAGAGTCTCCACGTGCTGCCTGGGTGTGGGCTAACGGGGGGGGGAGGCCTGTGTGGAAGCCATTCTGGTCCAAGCAAGCATTTTTTTTTTCCTCTATGATAATAGGACAGAAACCAGGGCTTTACACATGATAGGTAGGAACTCTAGCATTGTGAAATATTTCCAAGGGTGATTTTGTGTGTTAAGACCCAGGATAGATTCTGTGAGTGTTGGAGGCTTCTCTCTTTCCTCTTTCTCGATTCTCAGATGGTACCTGCTCATTTTTTTTTTCTCTGCAGATTATCAACTTCGTACCAGCTAGAAGGGAGAAGAAGTGGGGGTTTGAACATGAGACTTCCCTCTCCCCAGATCCCAGCCTCAGACTAGAGAAAGACGGTGTATGTGTGTGTGTGTGTGTGTGTGTGTGTGTGTGTGTGTGTGTGTGTGTGTGTGTCCATGCTGGGTGCTGCCAGCACCCAACCCATGTACCTCTCAGCTGCCTAGAATGGTTTCTCTGTGTCCCTCACCCTTGAGCTCTCCCATCCTGATTTTATATGAAGAAATAAGGGAGTCTGAACTACCCTCCCCTTCCATGAGTGCCTTCTTGAAATGGCCTGCCTTGGGCTAGCTCTAGGGCTCTTTTATAGCTGTTGAGCCAAGGCCCTGCTGGCCCTCTATCTGAGTTTTAGGGTGTCACTAAAATAAATATTACAGCTGTGAATGTGCTTCTTGGCTATGACCTGGGAATGTCCATGAGTGCTTAGATGAGAGCATCCATCTTCTCCCCTATTCCTCTGCACCCTCCCCTTCGTTCCCTGTCTCTCTGATCCCCTCTGTAGCCACCAGAAGTCGCTGTCAAACTTACCAGTACATGGGCCAGGCCCATGTGCCTTTAATCCCAGCACTTGGGAGGCAGAGGCAGGCAGAATCTCTGTGAGTTCAAGACCAGCCTGGTCTACAAAGCTACACAGAGAAACCCTATCTCAAAAAAACAAAACAAAACAAAAAAACCAGTCAGTACATACATCATTGCCCTTCTTAACCATGGAACCCTTCCCATCTTGTTAAAAGTAAAAAGTTACTGCAGTCCCAGTCTGGTCTGTGCACCAGTCCACCAGTCCACCGCCCTGCTCACCCATGGTCCTCTTCCAGATGTTTTTGACCCCCAGGGCCCTTGCACAAATGCAGTGACCCTTTAGTCAGCCATGTTACTATTTTATAGTACTTTCCTTTTGATTAGTTTTTTGTTTTGTTGTTTTTGAGACAGAGTTTCTCTGTGTAACAGTCCAGGCAGTCCTAGAACTCTAATTGTAGACCAGGCTGGCCTCAAATTCACAGAGACCCTCCTGTCTCTGCCTCCCATTGCTGGGAATACTGTATGCCACCACCACCCAGCCTGATTTTGTTTTAAGACAGGGTTTGGCTGTCTTCAAACTTTCAGTACTCCTCATCCCTTTGCCTGCTGTGGGTGCTGGGAACCAAACTTGGGTCCTGTAGAAGAGCAGGATGTCTTTTTGTGCACAAACCTTGTCTTCTACCTTGTTTTTCTGGAGATTTAGACAGAGCCTTACTATGTAGTCCTGGCTGTCCTGGAACTCATTATGTATAGACTGGATTGGTCTTGAAGTCAGGTCCACTTACCTCTGCCTCCTTAGTGCTGTGATTAATGGTGTCTACCACCTTACTTGGAAATATATTTGAGAGTTTTGAGAACTAGCTACCTAGCCCAGGATGGCCTACAACTTAATCCTCTTGCCTCAGACTCCTGAGTGGCAAGATTATTGGGTTTAATGACCTTCCTTTATCACCTCACAGCATTTACTACTCTGATAAAATGCAGTCACATCTCATGGCCTAGACTGTGGGTGTCTGCTGGTGGGCTCTGTGCATGGCCATCTCAGGAGGTTCTTGGCAGGATTTATCTCCCAGACTTCACTCCGCAGACATCATGCCAATTTTCTGTTCCCCAGCGGACTGCTTAACCTGAGCTAGAACATGTTTTTTTTCTCACCACCTACAATTTCTTTCTTTCTTTAATTTTCTTTTGTTTTTTTTCAAGACAGGGTTTCTCTGTAGCTTTGGAGGCTGTTCTGGAATTAGCTCTTGTAGACCAGGCTGGCCTCGAACTCACAGAGATCCGCCTGCCTCTGCCTTCGGAGTGCTGGGATTAAAGGCGTGCACCACCAACGCCCGGCCACTTTAGTCTATTTTTGTGTGTGTGGTGCTTAATGTTCAAAATTAAGCCAGGCATGGTGGTATATAGAACTAATCCCAGCACTCAAGAGGTAGAGGCAGCATGGTTAGAAGTTTGAGGTTAATCTAGATTTAATAACTTTGAGGCCAGCCTATGCTACATGGAGAATTTGTCTTAATAAAAGTTGTTAGGGGGCTGCAGCTATAGATTAGAGTCTTTGCTGAGGACCCAGGAAGCCCTAGGTTCCACCCCCAGCACTGCGTGGACTGAGTCTGTAATATTGAGAGTGGCATTCAGGAAGCTTAGGTGCCATCCTTAGCTACATACGGAATTGGAGGCCAGCCTGGGCTACATAATACCTCTTTTTTGTTGTTTTTTTGTTTGTTTTGTTTTTGAGACAGGGTTTCTCTGTATTGTTTTGGAGGCTGTCCTGGAACTTGCTCTGTATACCAGGTTAGCCTCAAATTCACAGAGATCCTCCTACCTCTGCCTCCTTAGTTCTTGGATTAAAGGCGTGTTCCACCAATGCCCGGCAATGATACCCTGTTTTTTTTTGTTTTAAAGAAAATTGCAGCCTAGCACTTGGGAGGCAGAGGCAGGTGGATCTCTGTGAGTTCAAGGCCAGCCTGGTCTATAAGAGCTAGTTCCAGGACAGCCTCCCCCTGTCTCGAAAAACCAAAAAAAAAAAAAAAAAAGAAAGAAAGAAAAAGAAAATTGCAGAACTGGAGAGATGGCTCAGCGGTCAAGAGCATTGGCTTGCTTCCAAAAGACCTGGTTTCAATTCCCAGCACCCAACATGGCAGCTCACAACTGTCTGTAACTCCAGTTTCAGGAGATCCAACACCCTTACACAGCTATATATGCAGGCAAAACACTAATGTACATAGGAAGGAAGGAAAGAAGGAAAGAAAGAAAATTGCCAGGTGTAATTCATTTAGGAGACAGAGCCCAGCAGATCTGTTTGAGTTCAAAGCCAGCCTGGTCTACATAGTTCTAAGACAGCCAGGACTCCATAGTAAGATCCTATCTCGGAAAAAAATTTAAAAAAGAAAATTATGTGAATATGTGGGTGTTTGATTGTCTCTATATATTATGTGCAGATGTCAAAAGAGTGTTGGATCCCTTGGAGCTGGAGTTATGTATGGCTGAGAGCTGTGACGTGGGTGTTGGAACCTGAACTCTTGATTCTCTACAAGGACATCGGTCAAATGCTCTTATCCGCTGAGCCATCTTTCCAGCTCCAAGACCCTTCCTTTAAAAAAAAAAATCAAAACAAAACTAGAGACCCCTCCTTTAATCCCAGCATTCGTGGTAGAGGTCGGTGGCTATCTGAGTTTGTGGCCAGACAGATCTACACAGTGAGTTCCAGGCCAGCCAAGGCTACACAGTGAGACCCTGTCTCAGAAATTTTTTTTCGCGATAGGGTCTCTGTGGCTTTGGAGGCTGTCCTGGAACTAGCTGTTGTAGCAGCAGGCTGGTCTCCAACTCACAGAGATCCACCTGCCTCAGCCTCCGGAGTGCTGGGATTAAAGGCGTGCGACACCAACGCCCGGCTCGTCTCAGAAATTTAAGGCAAAGTTAGAGGCCATTCCTTTAACTCAGCATGAATGAACTAAGTTCCCAGTTGCACAGTAAGGGCTAACTAGAACTACCGGGGTATACAAATGAATAGAACGTTCCAGTTCTGGGAGCTCCCAATCCTCCCTCCATTCCTCCCGGAGGCGCTAAAGACCCAAGATCAGCCCGCACCAGCCAGTCTCCAACCTCTCTCCTGGGTCAGTTAAATCTTCCCTCTCTTTCCCGCCCGGCCGCCCGCCAGTCGTGTTTGAAAAACCAAACACCCTGCGGTGGCGGGCAGCCCCACCGGTTGCCGCCCGCTGACCAATCACGAGCTGCACCACCTCTCTGGGCGAGACAAACCTTCCCAGCAACGCTCGCTGATTGGCTGAGGTCGCCGGTAGGCGGGACGTGCGGAGGTCGGGCGCTGGGCAAACCGGCTCCCGCTACTCTGTAGCGAGTTTGTAAGAAAACAAGGGCGCTCTGGGCGGGGCCTGTGGCGCGCTAGCCCCGCCTGCTGGCGGCGGTCTAGGGAGGCGGTGAAAGCCGGCTCAGAGCAGACTCCGCCTGCGCGAGCAGAGGAGGGAGGGTGAGTGGAGAGACCCGGCCCTAGGGGCGGGCGCCCAAGGGTTGGGCGGGGTTCCCCGCTGCCTCTCACGGTGACAGGGGGAGGAGCCGGGTGCGAGAGCCGGGGGTCGTGCGGGATCGAAGGCGAAGGGTCGGCGGCCGGGGAGTGACCGTAGCGTAGGCCCCCGTGGCGCCACAGCCCCAGGGAAGGGAAGCCCTAGTGTTCCGATCCAGCTCTTGCTGGTTCCTCAGCCTTGACCTGGACCGGGCTTGAGGCTGGGTGGGTTTCACAGACCACCCGCGTCACGATGCTGCTGGAAGAAGTCCGCGTCGGCGACCGGCTGAGTGGCGCAGCGGCCCGAGGCGACGTGCAAGAGGTGCGCCGCCTTCTGCACCGGGAGCTGGTGCATCCCGACGCTCTGAACCGCTTTGGCAAGACAGCCTTGCAGGTGAGGCCTGCCTGACACCCGGCTCCCACACCCCATCCTTCCTAGTCTCCTGACCCGGGTTGGTGATCCCCGGAGGACCATTCCTTGTTTGCACCGATGTTGGATGGGGTGATGAGGGTGGGGGAGGGGTGACTCTTCGGCTCTAAAGAATTCCTTGTCTTCAAGCCTAGAAGATTCAGTTTTGCTGAAGACTTTTATTCCGTGGATGGGTTGGGGTTCAGCTTCTCTTCATGCCAATCCTTGAGGACAGCTTACATTTTGGGGTCTTCTGAAAAGGCATTCGATCTCAGGAAGGCAGGATGCACGCACCTCTTCTCCAAGGGCGATAGCCTGTTTTTTTTCTTTTTCTTTTTTGTAGGAGTCCTGTTTAAGGGTCTCTGGTTATTTGGGGGGTGGGGGAAGTCTTCATTTCTGAAGGTGGTGTGGATTTTTTTTAATCTTCTCAGTGCCCAGGTTACAAAAAAATTCCCTATTACTTGAAGGCCCCATGATTTGGGGTGGCCTTTGTAGGGGCCCCACTTTTTCATGGGTGCTCATATATTCTGAAGATCAGGCCTATGTCTACAGAAGTTTTCCCTAGACACAGGGGATCCAAATTCCCTAGAGCATCTCTTTTCTCAAAAATTCTAAGTAGTTCTCAGAAAACGGGCTTGCATTGTCTGGAGGGGTCTAACAGTTCTGGTGGTCTCCCATATGGGAGCGCCCTGTCCCTGAGATGGACTCTTGGTTCCTTGAGAGTTTCCATCCTCCCTTCCTGTCCGTCTCTTCCTTTCCCCGTCCTCCTTCTTTCTCTTCTTTCCCATTCTCTTTGCTTCTCTTGCTTTTTTATTTCTGAGACAGAGTCTCACTCTGTATCAGGCTGGCCTTAAATTTGAGGCTATCTTTCTGGCCTGTCCTCCCAAGTGCAGGGATTACAGGAGTGGTCACTGTGCCTGGCCCCTTAAAGTTTTCATG